ATTAACCGTATTTATGATATCCGCATTTGGTTGCATCGAGGGAAAAATTGGTATTTGATATTTGTAACTATATTTCATGTTATTTATGATTATTATTACTATAATATTGGTATAATAACTATATGTATAGTTTTACCAACAAATATTAAATTATATATACGCTAAAAAAAAATGATCGGTTGGATTAAATAGTAATTCTGGTGGAAAATGGACGAATCAGAATTTTCTAGAAAGTCTAATAGAATTCTACTTGAGATATCTAGATTTCTGATTGATATAATTATATCTGGTAAAAATATAAGAATTCTAGTAGGTTTTATCAGAAATATTGCAACAACTAGAATTCTAAATAAATTTAACCATTAACCGTAGAAAATTCTGATTCGTTCATTTTCAAATTTCAGAAATTTCAGTAATAATTACAACTATCTTATGATAACAATAACTATGATTATAGTCATTTTATTCGATTGCTGATTAAATATATTTGTTGATAGAACTATATATATTATTATTATGATTATTACAAATTATTATTATAAATTATTACTACTATAATAATAATAATAATAATATAATAAAAAAAAAATTATTATTATAGTAAAATATTATTATTAGTAATAATCATAATTGCAGTAACGTGTAATTGTAGTTACACAAGTACCAAAAATTTTTCTCCCAATGAACAAGGCGGCCGCGAAAAATTCGAGCGAGGTGCAACCGCTGGAAAATCGGCGAATCCAGCCAGTGCAAACTACGAGAAGGGATCGTCCGACAGCTAAACTAATTAGCGGCTGACGTATTACAGGCGCTTACGTCGTACCACGCGCGCCCGTGGCGAGACGCTACGGTAATAACGAATTACACAACGATGTTCGCGTCCTGAGCTTTCATCGCGCAGCGGAACTCGGTTACAAGCTCCCGGGGTCCATATCCCCGTTCGCGCACGTACTCGCACCGCGATAATTAATTTCCCATTAAACGCGGAGCGCGGTTGCACGGTAACTTAACACGTGCACCGTCGTGCAATGCCGTCGTCCGGCAAAAGCCGGCTGATGTTGGGTTATTAACGAGCCCACGCCCGTGGACCGTGTCTCGCCATGAGTCACGTACCCGCGACGCGATCTCTTATCGGTCTTCCGATAACAAGTAACGCGCTCCGGGGCCTCACGTCTCTCGTATCGCGAGTCACGTTTCGCATTATCTGTTACGAGTCGTGCGCGCATTTTGTCACAGCGTCACTCGCGCCGGAGCTGCCGGACGAGCGAACGAAACGATCAACTCTCCACCTGTCGAGAAAAATTGCGAATGGATATAGCGCTCGTAGCTCGTAGCTCGTAGTAGTCCGGCGATTCGAATCTCCGAACTTTCCTTGGGCGCGAATCGTTTATCTCCGTATGGCAGACGCAGCCGTTTCCCTAATCGGCAAAAAATTGCGGAACACGCCGCGCCAATAAATCTGATTTCTATATCGAAGGCACTGCCGCACGCGACTTTGTTCGCGAGCCCGTGAGATTTATCGGGCGCGGCGCGCCCTGTTTTTGTCGGCACGGTCTTGAATAAAAATATCGCTATAAGTACGATGTGACGACGGGCGGTACGGTTACGTCCCGCTGGCAAGTGTATGGACGATGAAGAAAAGATTTGCGTCGCTGCGAAGAACGTCTTGGGAATTCGAAATCGTATTCCTAAAATCGTTGGCCGTGTTCGAGCCGAACGAAGCTGCTACTTTGCTCGCTGAGCTATTTGAATGTGCACTATTAAATGTATACGTTGAGAGAAAACCTGGTATTTGTAACTATTGTATAATTACATATTACTATAATTATGATTATGATTACCATATAGAAATAATAACTATATATAGTTTTATCAATCGATATATATATAGTTGTGGCAATCGAAAATAACTACAACCATATCAATATATTATTGGAGCGTCGAGTGGCTTGTTGCTCGGTGCGGTTGACTCGCGATCTATAGATCCGAGTTCGATTTTTCGCGGTTAAGAAGCCGAAATATCAAATAGTTTCGTTCTTAGAGTAATATTAAATTATATTCAATTTCAATTGTTTTTAATCATTTTCATTGGTCGCCGCTGCTTCCACTCAATGTATCGTTAATTTAGCTAAAACAATACACGGAGAAAAATGTTTGGATGAATTAACTGGAATTTTAGAGAGTGAAAAATGAACGATTCTGAAAATATGTATAAAACATCCTTAACGAATTCTCGTTAAGGATGTTTTATACATATTTTCAAAATAATAACAAAACTATGAAAAAATTGCAGATTTTTCTAAATCACGTTTAAAAAATAATATAACAAAATTTGATTATTATCTGGGGATCATAAGTTACTTTAATAAATAGTAATATTTTTTAAATCTATATTCTAATAAAAATACATCTTTTAATATTATTATAATACAATATGTATTCAAGATTATTTACGTAGCGTTACATTGTGATCAACAGTTGTTCCGTAAATAAATTAAATATTTATTTGTTCTATATCTTTGTAACTAATCAGTGAATCGCAATGAAAGTTTGCATAAATTATTTTAAATATTTGAAGTACTTATGAAAGAAAAATGTAAATCTTTTTATCGTTTTTTTTAATTTTAATTTTTAACAATAAATTTAACAAATAAAATAAATAAACTACAAAAGGGGTTATTAAACAAAAATATAATCTTATTCACACAACTTTTATATGTATATAAATAGTTTATTTGAAGTTTATAAATATTAAACATACCTCCAAATTTAATTTTCTTTGCAGAGATTGTATACGTCTAATACATTCTTAAATCTATTAGAATTCTAATTGAGATAATCAACATTCAGAATTTCCTTAATTAAATCTACTAAAATTCTATTTAGTAAGATGTTTAGTAGATTTAAACAAAAATTTAATAGACTAGAATTTTAGATTGTTCATTTTCCATCAAAATTCCAGTTAATTCAACCAATTATTTTCTCCGCGTAGAATTATACAAGTTAATTCAAAAGTATATATTAAAATTGGACTGAAATTTAGTTTATTGTTTTTATAAGTGCATAGGACGTTATATATATATAACATGATGTTGTTTACTTTGAAACTAAGCAATTCAGCCATACAGAAATAGATTTATTTACATTTTGATACACATGGAAATTAAACATAATAAAATATCATTTAACTGAAGAAATTGGGCTGTTGGTCCTCCGACATCTGACGAGTATAATTGATTGGATCTATAAGTAATGTCATCACGTTAAATCGCTTGGCAAGCAGGCTAACTTTTTTGTCGACTTGAACACGTCCATTAAGGCGGCTAATAAACGCCCGTAATAATATGTTAGCGCAATTATACTTTCGTTGCGTTGCAAAAGTGATTACAACGTAACGTGAATGAACGGTACAATTTCCGTCTTTTCATCGCGACTCGGAAATTAATGCCGGCGGGAAATTCGTTGCCTTCATGGGCACAACCGCGAGATCACTGATCACACGTACACGTCGAGGTACGACATACATACTATATGTCCTCGTGCGAATTAATGCGGCAAGCTCCATGCATGTATATAAATTTCTGACACGTAAAGTGTTTTATCGTCGTTGCTCGACATAGTACCCGCGTAACCCGCGTTAATTACTTTTGCTTTACGACCGGTGTGAGACGGGAAAAAAGGGAAATCCGGGAAAAGTGGTAGCGGACGGTACGAATTACTCTCTTCTGAAGAATCATCGTGATACAGATTGCCAGTGTCCTTTTACGTTTACTTTTCGAGAGCTTTAACAGCCGGTCTTATCACGACGTGGTTTCATGACGAAGCTTTTACGCGCTTACAGGGATTTATATTACGTCCTGGGACATTCTGTACAATTTTCATTTACTCGTCAAATATCACGACAAATCCTTTTTATATTGTTAAACATTTATATCGGAAATTGAGTACGTTTTTCAATTACTGTCGTTATATAGGAGGAAGATTATCTTTATTGACTGAAGCGACACTTGAAATGCGGTCGAAGTTGTCGGATAAATTAATTGAAGCCGGATAAAATAATCGCACTACCCGTCTGTCCGATCATCTCTCGACGATCCGCGCGTTCGAGGATCTGCGAATCCAAAGAGCTTAGTCGATGACTTTGGAATCGCTCCGCCTTCGAGAGTCATTGGCTGCGTTCGATTGAAAAAGTAACTTCGCAACTGTTGTAATATTCTTTAATCTTTAAGTAAGTAGATGGTATAAAGATATGGAAACTGGTAACTATAAGGTGCTAAAAACACAAAAAAAATTCATTTTATCAATTAAAATAACACAGGGAATTATAACTGTTTAATCTTACAGTTATATTTTTTATTAATACACTGAAAAAAAAATGATGCTAATCAATAACATCATTTTAATTGAATATAATCTTGTTGATTTACAATAACAGTATAATGAAACAAGTGAAATTTTATCAAAACAAAAGGGTAAAATATTTATTTCATTAATGGTATTATTGAATCAACAGTGTATATTTTATTATAGTTAACTTTTTATATCAATTGTATCCTTGTGTGAGATAGAGAGATGTGTAAAAATAGTGAGCCTTGAGACTTCCGGGCATCTAGACGATACTTTTTATTTTCCTTTGTCAGAATAAGATTTTTAAGAGAACCACGTTCGGTGTGCTGTGGCCATCAATCTACTAAAAGTTAATGTTATTAATGGTTAATATGATTGACATAATTAATTCATACATTTAGATCCAATAGGGAACTAAGGATACAAATCAATCATATTAAAGAATCTTACAATTGTGCAAAGTCGCTTTTTCTGTTGAACGCATCTATTGATCTGAATGTCCGCGGATGTGAGGATCCGTGGCCGCGTGAAACTCATCGAGCTCCAACTCGAAGTCTCCCAGGCCGATTCTCAAAGAAATCCTCACGTCGATCATCATGCCCCTGGAACACCTCCCACCGTAATGGCTCCCTCGAGCATGTTTCTTTCGGCAGATCGCCTGCGCCGCATGGGAAGAGCTTCTCGTAACTACACCATCGGCTGGGCCATGCACTGACGATGATCGCCACGACGATGGCAACGGCGACGACGAAGATGACGACGACAATGATACGCTGATAAGCGCGTGTGATTTTTCTCGCCGCGTCAAACGCACCGCGCCGTGAAACGGCCTCCACACGCGTACTCACGCACGCACATGCATTCACGTAACATACGTCATTGTACAGCGCAGGTGTCGAATCTCTCGGATTCAATCTCGGAAGCGTACCATTTTTGTACTCGTGGAATTCTAAATCCTCCAGCTGGATTTAAAAAATCGTTCTGAAATCGTATTAACGGACAATTGAAATTATTATACGCGGAGGAAAAGTCGGAAGCTTCGTATGACAAATTATATGCGGGTGTCTCTCGTCTCTTTGTTGTTTTAAATAAATATAGATATATGTATACATACATTTATATAAATATATATTCCTGCATCACATACAAAGCTATATCGGGCGAATAAAGATACTCCAATTACGCGTCATGATGTAATAAATTTAGATCGTCGAATAAACGCGTATTGATAATGTTAGTTAATATATACATATATATATATATATATATGTATATGTTATACATGTTGCAACGTATATATAATTGTTAAGTTGTCGGAGATAAGTTTCGCGGAGGGAACGATAAGGGAAGTGAAAGGAGCCAAAAGGATAACCTTTTTAATATAATATACGCGCCGTTTGCTGTAAACGGTTACTTAACTGGATTATTTAAATATTTATACGAGGAGGGAAGGAGTTATTTCATTTAATTAATTTGACCAAACTTTCGACCGAGTGTAACTGATCGGGTACAAAAACTGTTCTGTTTTCTATTTTCTTTCTTCTTTTGTCAAAATCATCTCTTTTTACCACTGTATCTTAGACAGAACGATTCGTCATTTCTTATGTATCAGAATAAATGAGTGGCTATTCTGTATTCAGAATAGCTGTGTCTAAATGATTTTAATGCATCGCTGTGGCTGAGGTAAGTATAGGAAAATTTGTAAACGTAAAGATTAAAAGACGGAAGAATCGACACGATTTTATTTTTAATTTAATGCTTCTATATTCTTTAATCTTCTTCACAGTGCTTTTTTAAAAATTAATTGCCACTTTTATAAATAGTAAATGTTGGAATGTCTAAAGTCGATTAATTAATTGCGATTACATAAATTTTTCATTAGATGCAAGTAAAGAACGATACCACCAACCCGATTCGTTCCGCTCGGCGTGCAATGTCACTGTAATATTCACTAAGGTACTAACTCGTCGTTCAAATTAATCATAATTTAGCACATACATGTCTACATGTATACAATCAATCTGTACATATTGTCTTCAATATCGTTTTTAATCAATCGATGTGACCTACGTGTTGTAACGAGAGAGACTGGATTTATTATAAAAGTGCGCGAGAGAGAAAGTGACGTAATTGTCTCTGTATGCATGCGGGTGCGAACGAGAGGGAGAGAAAGGAGCGCGAATACGTGGGTGAAGATAATTATGTGGAGAAGTCCTACTGATGTAAATCACGCTGATTGTCATAGGGTACGTTGTATGTATTCGGGATAACTGAATTCACGGAGAATATGTTGATCAAAAGTACTGCTGCGCCGTAGAACAGAGTTGTAGAACTGTAGAAAGAGATTTTATACTCTCACGCGCTGTATGAGGATATGCAATCAGTCTGAATTGTCGCAATTAACTCGACAGATTATAATTTAAGTAACCCGCACTTGTGTCTTCGCACTTTTGGAAATGCGTACCGACTTTTTACTTTAGCACCATCAGTCTCAAGAATCTTCGAGTTCCGCCGATCGACTTGGACTTTTCCGTATCTTCTACGCTTTTCCATAAATGAACGTGCCAAGTTCTCCTTGGTAAGCGTAGGTGAGTCGTGGCGGCGATAAACGGGAAGAAACGAAAAAGAATATCGATAATGAAAGAATATAATTCAATTCGCACGTGACCTTCCGGCGATCTTTATTGTAAACGTATTAATCGCACATGTACTCTGTTACACGCGTCACATTACGTACACGTACAACACACGAAATCCAAATGCACGCGCACGAACAAAGCCTTGCTGCTAGCCTTATCTTGTAACACGAGGTTTAAAATAAACTACTGGAAAACGTATTTTTTACGCTTGTGTCTTGCTCTCACCTAAATTGACCTAAATCCGCGAAATTTGCACGGGAGGAACAATTTTTTTGCTGAAGTGTCTAAAAATTTAGCTAGAAGCAAATCTGAAAATAATCTGTTGTTGAACTATTGTATAACAATAATTATGTAGAATATTTAAGTTTTGATAACAATATTGCAAAAAGTTTCCACATTCTAGCAACTAGCGTTCTACATAATTATTTTGATGGTCTAAACAAAATTATTTTCAAATGTATTCTGATAAATTTTTAGGTATTTCAGCAAAATTGTTTTTCCGTGCGCGAAAGAGAAATTCGTGCACCGAGAAAAAGATGCCTAAAAATATATTTGTGAGAAATATATTTATATTTAAATAAATATTTATTTAAATATACGAACGAAATAAAATTTTATTCCTAGCAAATAAGCAATCTATTTTATTTTTTTGGTACTAATGAGATATTTTTTACAGAAATGTATATTTCGTTATTACAATCAAATTTCATAAGTAACATTTGCTTCGCAATACTTCGATATTTTTCTCTCAGCGTGTAAAATAATGAAATCATATACTGAAAAAAAATTCTAAATTTTAATAAATCATTCGATTGAATAGTATTAACTAAATATATTTACTAAATATGAAGATTTATTTGTTACAAGAATCATTAATTTTAACAATCTTTTTTTATTGAATAAATATTCATTACTATAAGTAAATGTTTAATTGCACTGAGAAAAATGGTCTAATTGGATTAAATAGTAATTCTGATGGAAAATGAACGAATCAGAATTTTTTGGTTAAATTTACTAGCATTCTAGTTGAGATAATTAGAATTTTGATTGATATAATTATTCTAGTAAAAATAAGAATTTTAGTAAATTTTACCAAAAATATTGTATCAACCAGAATTCCGGTTATCTCAACTAAAATTCTAATAAATTTTACCAAAAAATTCTGATTCGTCTATTTTCAACCAGAAATTTTTTCAGTGTGGTATTATTTGAATAAATATAATTAAAATTTAATACACAATTTTTTCTCAGTGTAATTTCCGGCCTCTTTTTATGCGACGGTTGCATCAATATCGTTCTGCATCCAGTTTCAATTGAGAGACGGTCTTTGCATCGCAGAAGACGATATATAAACTCGTGTGACCGAACATAAGACTTACCTCTCACATGTCGGCGCATATTCCGCCGTACATATCTTCGATCTCGCTGGGGTCATCGTGGACTGTTTCAATAAACGCCTTCCGATCTGTGTCTTGTAAGTATTCTTTATTCTTTGTAAAATCATACAGCGAAAGCGATCGGATCTACACAGTGTAGTGAAGCGAGATACAAGTGAAGTGAATGTTCGCCGAACGAACGACGGCCGAGTCGGATTTTTGAAGCTGTTCGTCCCCCCGTCTCGATCAATCTCTATTTCGAGGGGGAATGATATTATTCGAAAGCGAAAAAAGAAAATTTAGAACTTTTTATTGTGATTGATGAATCGGAACAGGTGTTTGAAGCCTTAAAGATATTACATATTTTCGTTTAATCTTTCGTTCGAATATCTGAACACTTCTACGAATCCATAGTCTTCTTCGATCTCTAAATTAATCGATTTGAATCAATGGATTTCTTTGGATCTTTCAATCTTGAGATATTTTTTTTTTTATTTTTCGAATTCTTATCTACAGACAGAAAGAGTTGACACGCCGCCGATTCGCCCGCAAACTCGAAGGTACATACGCTCTCCTCGACTTTTTCCTTTGCAAATTTGATTGGCCCGAACAGAGCAAGGTTCCTTCCATAAAAATCGTTCGCTAAAAACGCCAGTCTCTTCGCATTGACAAGCGCGCACGTGACTTAGAAACTTAATAACTAATCCTTGACAAAATACACAGGTAATGCAAATGTACGTATATACCTAAGATCCTAATAAAAACTAGAAATCCTCTCATGATTAATTATCCAAAATATATGTTACCTAAAGTTGCCGTCAGGCCGGTGACGGCAATGACGATGATGGGCAATCAAATGTCCAGCGATGACAATTCATGATTCGTGTAGTGAAACAAATGCCTTTTATACAAATAGCTCTGTGGTACATAAAATTTGATTTCCCCTACTAGTATAAGGTTTATATAATATACATATATTTATATCATATACTTTTGTAATAGCTAATAAATAATAATCTTTAATAGTTCGTCAATTAATTTCTGTGAAACCCGCCTATCCGGCGCTTAAAATACGAAATCGCTTACACTTTATATTTATATTTATATTTATATTTATATTCATATATTTATATTTATATATATACGCTCTTCGTTCATTCGGAATTTTAAAAACCACGATCTCTCGCCTGCGACCTCCCATCTTCTTTTATGTCACTTTACATACTCTATACTCTTACATGTTAATGATTTACCGTAATGGTGTGTGGCGTGCTTAAGTTACTGGTTGCACTTACCGGTATCACCTGCCGCCAACCGGGGGCGAGAGAGAAGGGGATATCGCGCTCCCCCCCCCCCTCCCCGCGGTGGCCGTAACTTTAAAAAGCTTAAAAACCCCGTACTTAAGCTAACGCGAACGTTAACGTCGCGGCGCGTGGCGCCGCGTTTCATCGAGCCTGCTCTAAAAAAAAAATAAAATAAAACGCGCTGCCGTTTCGGCTACGCGCGTAAATGCAATCAGTAGCGTATCCTTGAAACCGTCGGTGCCTCGAATCCTCGGGCCAGCAGTCGCGAATCCCAGGGGAGCCCCCCGTTTCCGGTCATCAGGAGCTTCCGGAAAACGTCGGCATCCTCCAGGAACCGCTTCCGAAAGCCTTGGAGGATCCCAGGAACTCCGGATCGTCGAGTCTTTAAATAATCGGATACGAGTGCGAAACATGTTTACAACATGCGGCTCGAAATGATCTTGCGACGACGAGGACAGAGGGAACGTCTGCCTTCGTGAGAGACTTCTAAATGTGCGCGTGCATTTTGTGTGTACGAATGTGTGTGTGTGTGTGTGTGTACACATGCGCTAAAAAAGAAGTATTTAATTTTAAGATATTAAAGTATTTGATTCCTGTCTCCGTTTTTTAAATCCTAAGCAGAACAACAAATCACGATAACGTCAAAATGAAACATAAAATGAATCGAAATGATTGAAAAATGACTTAATAATCATTTTGGAATCATTTTGACATCATCTTGACTATCATAATGACTCGTTGTTCTGCTTGGACACTTAAAGATATTTTAGTTAAAAATTTTGTTCAATATGAACATCTTTATCCCTTTGTGATTAGGTTGCTGGAGTCAATAACTTCTTTAATATTCAATAATTCTTTTTACTTCATAGAATTGTGAATACGGCAATTATTTGGGATCATTTTGACCCCAGAAGGAGTGTAATTACGAAGGGTTAAGCGTTTAAAAACGTAGACAAGAATAAAACATTTTAACATCTTAAAATTAAGCACTTCTTTTGTTTTTAAGTGTGTGCTGTATGTGGTACAGGAAAACGCGTGAACGCGAAACGTCGATGCTGGGCGTTCGCAATCGTTCTCGTCAATGTTCTCGCGGCACAGAACAGCGGAGGAGTAATAATAGGGATGATGAAAAAAAGACGACAGCAGGGACTGTGTAATCGATGCCGCGATTAACGTTCGTTGGCAACGGCGTGTCAAGGGTTTTGTCAACGATTAACGTCCTCAACGAAACGTTTCTAGGAATGTGTGTGAGTATCTTAGGGATTTTGATCTATAAACGCTGCCGAAATCTGAATATCCGCAGATCCATAAATGCCGAAATCATTTTATCTTTTATACTCTAAATATCGCGCACTTTTGAAACCTAATCGCAGGTCGATTACTTTCACGAGGATCCTCAGGCATTCGGATATCCGGCAAACGATTCACGCAATTGTCTATTCACTTCTACGAGGATCACGGCTCTGGTCCTATTTGTAATCCTACAGTTAACAACTATTCGTAAGGATAGCTAAACTTAGCTGTATGTATTTGTTCGCTGTAGCTTCGCTTGCGAATTGGAAATCATAAATGCACTTCCTCGTAATCTTTCTTTTCACCTTTTTTTTTTTTCGTGGGACCAATCGACCATCGTTCGCGAAATCCAGATGGGGAAAGTAACTTGAATTTTACGTTTCAACAATATTAACCCAGGAGCAGCCATCTCATTTTCTTTTTATGTAAACGATCACCTGAGGTGTTTTTATGCTTCAATTAAAAATGATCATTATTAACGATAAATATATTGTTTTTCGATTTATTGGTATTCGAGAGCCTTACAGATTTACTCATGATTTTTGGAAAAAGTAAGCAGAAAAATATTAAACCAGAAAAATATTAAACGTAATAAGCACATTAAGTAGCTTATCATGAATATTTTCAATAGTATTTATAAAAAATGAAGATTGTTTTAATTAATATAACTTTTTTTATATAAGTTTCCGATGGAAACAATTGCGTATTTAAAGGTTTGTAATAATTATTACAAAAAAGAGAAGATATGTTCAAAAAGAAAGAAAACAATATCCATTTTACAATTCACATTTTCTCGTTGCTGAAGTTATAAAAATACCCCAGGTGACTATTCCCGGGTTAATGCAAGACATTTTGTAACATACGGCGAAGTGTGAACGTTATAACTTCGCCATATGTTACAAAATCTTGGAATATATTCGTGAATGTGATAACGTTTATCTGTAAAACGCGACTCGTGGACGGTGGTCGATTTTTCAACAATTTATGGCCCTTTAATAATATTAGTAACAACACCGACG